CAACGATAGTTCGTCAAGTTAGTACTGTTTTAACCTTCTCAAGGACCGGGCGTAGCCACACTCGGTTCAAGTAAAGTTGGAGAAACTGACACCCACCAGCCACCTGTGTGCAAAGCACGTTGGTAGAACCAATCTCGCGTAAGCGTATGCGTAATGTCGGTCCGGGCCGCTTCATCCAACAATATCGTCGAACCAAAGTACGACATGATGGTAAGCAGTATAACTTGTATCGCCCACAACTCACTCGCATTCTACTTGTGCATAAACATCTATGCATAAAACCAGGCTCTGATACCACTGTTGGGGAACGTAGTAATTTCAAAAAAGTTCCTATGCACACACAGGATCATGGTGATGCATAGACACGAGAGGGGAGAGTGTATCCACGTACCCTCGTAGACAGAAAGCGAAAGCGTTAGCACAACACGGTTGATGTAGTCGTACGTCTTCACGATCCGACCGATCCGAGTACCAAACGTACGGCACCTCCAAGTTCAGCACACGTTCAGCTTGATGACGTCCCTCAAACTCCGATCCAGCCGAGCTTTGAGGGAGAGTTTTGTAAGCACAACGGCGTGGTGACGGTGATGATGATGCTACCGACGCAGGGCTTTGCCTAAGCACAGCTACGATATTATCGAGGTGGAATATGGTGGAGGGGGGCACCGCACACGGCTAAGAGATCAAGAGATCAATTGTTGTGTCTCCAAGGGGTGCCCCCCTCCCCGTATATAAAGGAATGGAGGAGGGGGAGGGGCCCGGCCACCCTAGGCACGCCCCATGAGGAGTCCTACTCCCACTGGGAGTAGGACTCCCCCCTTCCAAGTGGGTGTAGGAGAGGAGAGGGAAGGAGAGAGAGGGGGAAAGGAAAGGGGGGCGCCGCCCCCCTCCTTGTCCAATTCGGACTGGGGGGAAGGGGGCGCGCGGCTGCCCTTGGTCGCTCCTCCTCTTCTCTACATGGGCCCAATAGGCCCATTAGTCTCCCCACGGGGTTTCGGTAACCCCCCGGTACTCCGGCATGTGTCCGAAACTCCCCGAAACCATTCCGATGTCCGAACATAGTCATCCAATATATGAATCTTTATGTCTCGACCATTTCGAGACTCCTCGTCATGTCCGTGATCATATCCGGGACACTGAACTACCTTCGGTACATCAAAACACAAAACTCATAATATCGATCGTCATCTAACTTTAAGCGTGCGGACCCTACGGGTTCGAGAACTATGTAGACATGACCGAGACATGTCTCCGGTCAATAACCAATAGCGGAACCTGGATGCTCATATTGGCTCCTACATATTCTACAAAGATCTTTATCGGTCAAACCGCATAATAACATACGTTGTTCCCTTTGTCATCGGTACGTTACTTGCCCGAGATTCGATCATCGGTATCTTAATACCTAGTTCAATCTCGTTACCGGCAAGTCTCTTTACTCGTTCCGTAATACATCATCTTGCAACTAACTCATTAGTCACAATGCTTGCAAGACTTATAGTGATGTGCATTACCGAGAGGGCCCAGAGATACCTCTCCAACAACCGGAGTGAAAAATCCTAATCTCAAAATACGCCAACCCAACAAGTACCTTTGGAGACACCTGTAAAGCACCTCTATAATCACCCAGTTACGTTGTGACATTTGGTAGCACACAAGGTGTTCCTCCGGTAAACGGGAGTTGCATAATCTCATAGTCATAGGAACATGTATAAGTCATGAAGAAAGCAATAACAACATACTAAACGATCAAGTGCTAAGCTAACGGAATGGGTCAAGTCAATCACATTATTCTCCTAATAATGTGATCCCGTTAATCAAATGACAACTCATGTCCATGGCTAGGAAACTTAACCATCTTCGATTAACGAGCTAGTCAAGTAGAGGCATACTAGTGACACTATGTTTGTCTATGTATTCATACATGTATTATGTTTCCGGTTAATACAATTCTAGCATGAATAATAAACATTTATCATGATATGAGGAAATAAATAATAACTTTATTATTGCCTCTAGGGCATATTTCCTTCAAGCTTTTCTCGTCACCGGTTGCAACATCGTCGTTTCTGATTGTAGCTTTTCTCGTCGCCGGTTGCAACATCGTTGTCTTTGGTCATAGTTTTTCTCGTCTTCAACACTAGTGGCATAGGATGCGGCGGATCGGAGGTTTTTTGAGAAGGTGGCGTGGAGGTGCCTACCGCTCGCCGGAGGAGAAACATGTCAGGAACGGGAAAGGGGATCGCACCCATATTGACGGGAAGGGGTGGCCAACGACTCCATGACAGCCGGTGGACAAGATCTGAGAAGGGAGGCACACCAGCTTGGAGGAACAGTGCAGATCTGGCTGAAGGCGCTTGACGAGGGGGTGGACAAAGGCTATAGTCACCATGAATGAGGCTGCGATGTTTTTTTCTGAAATAAAGAAGAAGAGAGAGATGAATACGCGCATGTGTGAAGACGACCGGCCGAAGCATTCGACGTGGGCCAATCACAAGCGTTTTCCTTATTACTACCTCTATACCGAAATACTTATAGTAGGGGAATATTTACGGAGAAAGTACTTAGGATTGTTTGATGGGTCCCTCCCGTGGACATCAGACATTTTTTTTTTGAGGGAATGGACATCACACATTGGGGTGCTTGTAAAATTAGTGTCTCAAGGACACTGACTTATTACGACGCGTCCCTAAACCAGGCACCCTTGAACCGACTTACGACACGAGACCCGATTCAAAAAGAAAAGGACACGGAATCCAGCGGAAAAAGTCCAAAACAAACCTTGAAGTTGTAGACGAAAGCTAAATCAAACCTAAACTTTGATTCCCGGAAATTGGCACTCTGAACTTATAATCCCAATCCATTTTGGACCTTAGACCTGCTTGGCACACTGGGAATAAGAAAATTCCAGTCGGGATAACCTGCTACTCAGAATTTGGGCCAGCCCACTATAACACTACAAGAAATCGTGAACTTTAAATATATTTGCGCATTTCTAAAATTTTCAGAAGTTAAAAAATATTCCTTTTTTCTATTTATCACACAAATGCAATTCCTTTTGTGTTTTTAGTTTTTTTATGGAATTTTGAAATTCTATTCGCATTTTTAAAAATTGTTTGTGATTTCCAAAAAAATTCTAAAAAATGTTCAGAATTTCAGAAGTTTTTCACATGCTACAAAAATGTTTCGGATTATTGGAAATAATGTTTTTATAATAATGTTTTTATAATTTTGTAAATAATGTTTTTATAATTTTGTAAATAATGTTTTTAGAAAATGTTTCGGATCGTCGGCGAAGGACTCGTATGGGCCGGCCAACCAGACAAGAAGCGAGCTTTTCTTTTCTGAAAGCTGAACAAAAAATTTAAGTGCGAACAATTTTTGAAACATAAACATTTTCTGAAACCTGAAAATATTTATAAAGTGTGAATGCTTTTTGAAAAATTTAAAAATAGGAACAAATTTCAAAACCTGAACAAATTGTAATAAAATATTTTGTGACATAAAAAAATTTATCTCAAGTTTTATAAAAATGTACGCATCAATTCAAACAAATGTTTATAGAATGTATAATAATATTTGGCTGATTCAAAAAACTGTTTCGTACATTCAAAAAAATGTAGCATTTCAATAATGTTTAGGAGTTTAAAAAAAATGTGTTTGTGACAATTTCAAATAAAAATGTGTGTAGAATGTAAAAAATATGTTTGCGTGTTGTAAAAAAATGTGTCTTACACTTAACAGAATATACTTGGCATGTGTTTGAAAAAGGTGTCTACAAATTTAAAAATGATAAACCATGCAGAAGAGTGTCCGTTTAATTTTATAAAATGTTTATTGTTATTTAGAAAATGTGAACATGTATTTGGAAAACTATAACCATGTATTCAAAAAAATTGAAAACATTTAATTTGAAAATGTACATATTGTATTTGAAAATATCAAAAGTTTATCAAAAAATATTTTATGTGTGCATGAAAAATGTACATTGGGTACGAAATAAATATAGACGTGTAAAAACGAAAAAGAAAACAAAAAACAAAAAAAAAACAAAGAAAACCCAGAGCAGTGCACGCGTGCGAGTGACACCACTAATGGGTCGGCCCAATTCAGCAAATACCGGCTAAGTCCTCTCAAGGTTTAAAATAGACCGGAATAAGAGAGTTTGATGTGCTGATTTCAGAGATTGAGAGTTCAGGGTTTGATTTAGCTTTCGCCAACAAATTCACTTCTCCGTTTTATTCCAAGTCAAAATTTTAAAATTGATCTACTTCATAGAAAATAGTATTAGCATATATGACATCAAATTGATATATTACCAAAGTACATTTCAAAACGAATCTAGTGATACTGCCTAAGTGTCATAAATGCTGCTACTTCTTATCAAGTTGATCAAAGTTTTAAAACTTTGAGTTAGGACAAAAGCTAGATGTACACTTATTCACGGACGGAGGGAGTATATTTGTTTCACGAATACTTGAGTTTCTCTAACCATCGCTGCGTCAAAGTTACATTCTTGTGAAAAACGAGATGAACTCAAATTTCCTAGAGCTGAGCTTCAAATCAGAGGGAGACTCAAGTTGAGTTCATGAAATCAAAAGTGGACTTCTCCAATTTTTATAAACTTCACACTAACATTATACACCACAACAAATGACTGCAAAAAATCACATTGGTCGTAACCATAAAACAACCACCTACAGAATTGTAAGCATCACTTCTGAAACCACACAAACAGACCAACATTCCCATCAGATAGAAACGCCATCAAAATCCAGCTAAAAACCCCTGAAAGAAACAAAGGTAAGACATCTAAATCTTTCCTGGGCAGAAGCAATCAATCAATACAATGCCCATGAATCAAAACTAGCGTATGGTTCCCTAGCTCCGACTGCTAATAATGCACAATTATTACAAAATAAGCTTCCTAGGTAGCAAGGCGGAGCACCGTTCCATCCATTATATGTACCTTTGAGGTGTTTCCAGATTTTCCCCATAAATCAGGTGCTCGGGGGAGCTGAACTGGGTATCTTGAAATGCTTCTTTACATAGTGTGATGCCTCTGAATCATTTCTGTGGCACAGGACCCTCAGCAGGGTTTTGGAGTCGCTTCCGAATTTGCTTTTGCCCCCTTGAGTAACTTCGCGCAGATCATCAATAAGCACACGGGTCTGGGATAAGAAATGACATCTAGTCATTTACAAATATGATTTACAGCAGAAGGATACTCAATTTCTTATACTACAGCATCCCCAGTCCCAAGTCTTAACAACTCGACGGCACACTGCTGAGCAGTCTTTGATTCAATTATGGAATATTTTCTAGAATTGAATTGTAGCTAGTTTGAACAAAAAAAAATTACCAAGTTCACTCTAGTAGGCATTTAAAGCATTGTGCGTATAACTGGAGATATGGCAAGCTCATTCTAGATGGTGCTTCTCGAAAAACAACGGTGCACTTGTTCTATCAGTATTAACCCCCAAAAGGTTCATGAGAAATTTAATCCAAAATTACCTCTTGCTTGATCAGATTTATTACAGGACGAACACGCGAGACCAAATTCTCAACAGTTCCACGAGGCAGCCCATCTCCGCCAGATATGAAGAATTCCTACGGCAAAAAAAGGGGTAACTTTTTTAGGTAAGCAAACAAGTAGTCAGCACGGGTTAAGACAACATTTTATCGGTCGGACAATAAAGACAAGGCAAGATTAAATATATGTTCCAGACACATGATAAGCATGTTCGTTATAGAATGATACAGCCACACACAAGATGTCCCTTGTATATACCTTAAGACAACAATATATTTATTGGTCGGATAATAAAGACAAGGCAAGATGTTCCAGACACAAAAGCAGCCAAGATGTCTTCAGACAACAATATACCTTAAGAATTTCAAGATCTTCCTCCAAAAGAGGGGCATCATTTGGAGAGAAGACGCGTGTAGGACCTCCATCTAGTATTACCCGAACTAAGCCATCCTACCAAAAGAGATTACGACAAAATTATATTCAAAACTTTTTACAGCATCTCACTGATCTCAACAGCCAAAATTATCACCAGGGATGCTTGCAGAAGCCCTGTAACCACACGATCTCGCAGTTGCTCCACAATGACGTCACAGAGTTGAGCAAGCACCTAAAGAGTGAGCATTGACATCAAATAAATGCCAATTAGTTCGACAGAAGCTTAGTAGCTTACCAACAAGACTACAAGTGGAAACCTTTAGAAAGAAATGCTAATAAATATGCTTGTCCAAAGTACGAGGTATCAGCATATGCTTTAGCATTTGGCGAAAACCGAAATTCCGACATAAAAACCGTCCATTTCCTCGCATGTGAACTTATGAACGTACCAAATCAAGCACTTCGACAATAGTGTCCAATCGAGCTTGTAAAACATTGTTTTTGTACATATTGTCGATGAATGGCTGTTGGAGGTCCCAAAATATGACCTTTAACCCTACGAAAGAAAAGATGCAAACTTCAACATTGACAAGCTATCAGCTTCCAAGTAGCACTGCTGAGTGCATACATATTTTCTTACCTGTAAATTCACATACCCGATCAATAGCAGCATTGATTTCTTTTCTACTGCCATCAAATTGATTCTTCTGATTGGAGACTATGCCCTTTGACTTGCCGTTCATTGATCGTCCTAACACAGTCAAAATATTTTGAATATATAAATGAACTAGTTTGATCTATGTGGACTAGACCAAACAGATTAAGTGGCAATCTTATCAGAGTATCCTACAGATAAACTGGTTACTTTTTTTTAAATGCACACGTACTGATGTTAATTTTGTCACTTTGCCTTTTAGCCCACCGCTCACTTATGCTGTCCTCCAACTTGCCTAGCTGGCTTATAGCATACTGTTGGATATTAATAAAAAAACATCCAGTTCAGAAACTCTCAAAGTAATCAAAATGAACAAGCGAATAGCAAGAGCGTCAATTATCAAAAGAATGGCACGAGTCTTGTTGATGTAAATCATGGTTAATTATAAAAGAATGACATGGATCCTGTTGATGTAAATCATGGCAACAGCCAGTACCAGCTATTGGCTCGATACTAGAATATTGTGTCAAGTCCAGAGCCATCAGCACAATCAATAGAAAAATTCTGCAATGATTCCATGTAAAATTACTGATAACCAATATTACTAATAATGAAACAACTTAATATTAACTACATTCAAAAGGGGAACAGCATCAAACGAGAAACCGTGAAAGATACAGCCAGTTAAAAAACATATATTTAATGTGACTGTAAGCTGTAGCAGGTTAGCAGCATAATTATCAACTCCATATCTGAAGTCTACAAATTTAAGGAAATACTGCTCCAGCGTGAGTGTCAACCATTCCAAAATAAATCTTCTATGAAAATTGCTATGTGTTTTTTCCTTCTCATTTACATCTTTGTGTACCAAAAATTGCCCAGGAACTTGGTAAGTCGTTCTAAATAGAAGTAACATAGCAGCATCAGTTGTAAGTAACAAACTCACATATAGACTGTTAAGCCGCACACATAGCTTTGACATTGTAAGTTGAACTATTTCACTCGATTTTCTCTCATCAACAGGTCTGACTTCTTGGATTTCCTTTTTTACGAAAGCTTTGATCCCAAGCTCCTTTTTATATCGGGTAAGGACAGGAACAGGTGGAACTAAATCTTCTTTGTCAACTGCAAGCACACAAAAACCATTATCAATTAAGAGCTAGAGAAAATAAAGAGGGTTAAACCAAAGCATGCGGGTCAAAACAAATGAGATAGATATTTCTTTTCTCCATACTAGATACTATCTCAACTATACTATTTAGCAGGAACCATCTATCTAAAGCACAATTTTATAGGTTTGTGCTCTACAACAAGATAATATGTGACTTTAGGAGAAAGAAAAAATATATAGACCTCCAGCAAGATAAACAGAAACGTACTTAAGGAGAAAGAAAATTGTGATGATACAAACCTATGGGTTGAGTAACAAGTTGTGTATAAATTTGAAATGCCTTGTCAATGCCGCGACAGAAGCTATTTAATTCCCCAATTCGCATAGGAACCTTGAATGCAAAAAACTGATCTGCAGTCTGCAATAGTTCACAAGTGATCATTACTTTCACAAATACAGGTCATTTATCAAGCAAAAAAAATATATTTTAAACAATTAAGACAGGTACATAACTTTGAAATATTGTGGCATGGAAGAGAAACAACATTAGTTATTAACCTGTAAGGAGAAATTAATGAACAAAAAATTAAAGAGATAATGGAGGACAGAAGCAACACCTCTTCTATGATTCTATAGACTTCAACAATAGAACCCCCATGGCGTTGTTGAGGGGATATAGGATCCCAAGTCTGCCAAACATAAAATTTAGCATAGAGAAAATGGTGCGGAAAATTTACAAGAACACTCGATGAATACCAAAGTAATGTTAGGAAGCAAAGACAGGTGGCAGGCGAAAAGGATATATTGTAACAAGTGGCAGTAAAACAAAATGCTCTAGCATACCAAATAGATGCTTATACAAACTAAAAAACAGAGTCATATACAAAAAGAAATGTGCTAACCTCTTGTTCAGCAGCCCTTTTAACCCATGTTTCAACTCTCTCCAGTTGCCCATTCACCCAGCGTAAAACAACCGTGCCCGATTTACTTTCAATCTGAGATAAACAAAAAGGCAGCAAATCAGGATAAACACAACAAGAAGCCCCATGGGGGCATGAACATAGCATGTCAATTGTCAAGGTGACACCCAAGCAATTTGCGTTTTTGTGATTGTTTGTAGTTGAGGAAGAAAAGATCAAACCTCATAAGGAACTAGCTTTTGTCTACATAGACTGTCCAAACCATCGTCGCCCACAACAGAAGCCATCACTGACATTATGTACTGCTCCAAAGAATCAGCTGCCGGAAATACAGAAACTACGTCCTCCGTAAGATGCTCAGAATGCTCAAGAAAAGGTCCCTGCCACAACAACTTAACGTAAGCATGCAGCCTCACAAGGTTGTGATGGATTTAATAGTTATTTATTATAACTTACCAATTTGTTTCCATACAGTTTATGGAGAAGGGAAGCAGAAAGAACTGCTGCCTGTGGATGCCATCTTGACAAAACTGGGGAAAAAATGTTTGTCTCTATCTTCAAAAGCTTCTTTGTCTCCTCGGCTAGAGATGCTAAAACATGCTCATGTGATGTGTCTGCTTTAATCTCTACGGAATGTGCAATCTGAAACAAAACAAAAAATAATCCATAGTGTTGACATATAGATGGAACTAGAAAAGTACATGACCTATAGAACTAAAGATTGCACTATATGGGTTTCCACTCCAGTACACTAAAAAACTAATGACCTGACCAGAAAAAAAGTTACAATTAACAGTAAAAATATGAAGATATAGAGTCTAGCATTTATATCCTTTGATATGCAGATGAAACCACGTGCTTAAACTCTTATACGCACGTAGAACATGAATATTGCATAGAAGGCCTCATGTCATACTGACTTTTGACTTTTGAGGAATACAGTGACCAGGAAAAGACCAGAACAAATCCTCTAGACCAAAAGGCCAAAAAGCATACACAAAATTTGGGGCAAAGAACCAAAATACAGTCCTACTAAATATAACAGAGGTCATGCCACATTCAGATATACAAAGTGATCGAACACCTCTAACTGCAAAGAATCTCGCCAACGGTGGCAATAACATAGATTTCTAGAAGTGAAGGTGATCAAATACAACACGACAAATCCAAGATACATGTATACTATAATGGACCAACATTCAAGGTCTGCATAAGCAGGCATGGGTGAATAAGTGATCTTATTATATCCATCTCATGGTAAAATGAGAAAAATACATCAGGAAAGAATGAAAATCAGCAATATTAGAGCTACACTAAAAAAGGGCAGCCCGGTGCATGTAGCTCCCGCTTGCGCAGGGTCGGGGAAGGGTCCGACCACTTTGGGTCTATAGTACGCAGCCTTTCCCTACATTTCTGTAAGAGGCTGTTTCCAGGACTTGAACCCGTGACCTCATTTTACCACTGCGCCAAGGCTCCCCTTCTACAAAAGAATAATTGCAGCTGCAAATAAGGTCACCTTCATGAAAGCACTTTTGACAGAAGAAGTGATGTAACGGTCAATCTGGTCTCGATCAGGTGACTCCATTGCCTGATGCAGAAAAGCAAAACCGGTGCCAAATCAGATTTGTATGTATGTGCAAACGCTAAAGCTCTGGTTTTCCACATTGTGCAGCGCCTATTGAGAACAAAAGGTTGCTACTGTATACTACCACAAGTTAGAAGACGAGAAGTGTGGTGGTTAGAGACCATTTTGTGAGGAACCACTACTCAAGTGACTTCTGCTCAAGAAATGCCTGGAAGCGGTGGTGCTCATACGCACTGGCGGAGCATCGGTGGGACCAAGGAGGGTCCCTCCCCCCCAAAAAAAAAATCTCCCGGCCTCCCTAATCTGTCTAGCTGTTTTGGCCCCTCCTTGGATTTCACTCACGGTCCGCCACTGCTCATACGTACACTAGCCACAGGCAGACGGTCCCACTTTTAGATTACAAAAGGTATGTTGGATGAGAAATGAAGGATTGAATGTAAAGCTTCAGCACCTTGTCATTTTCTTCACCAAGGATTCGCCTAGTAAGCATTGCTACTGTTATGATATCAACCATCATACTGGAACCCTGCAGATGTAAAGACAAATTTAAGGTGGGGAAAAGGTAAGATCGTCAGTACAAACAAAAATAAGAGATGAACAGGTCCACTAGAATCTACACTAGCTTAGAGATAGCAGATCCCAAATGGTAGTCTGAACAGAACAGAAATAGCAACATGCACGGTGGGAGTGAGGGTGTTCGGTCCTGTTATGAATAGTGAGTTCAAGGGCAGCAAACTCCTCTACCATTGCATGCCTCACCAGGAGAAGGTTAGTTGGACTTAGCAAGCAATGGCTTGTAGGCAGCAAACTGGATATTGCACGACTCCATAACCTCATTATGATGACCAAGTGCATGCTTGTGAGCATCCTTAAAAACCTTCTTTTTCTGAGCATCTTTCTCTTCAGCAGTACCATGCGAGTACATGCGTGACAGGGAAAGGAAGGCAGGCACTGCACCTTACCAGTAAGAAAATCTCAGTCACTGATTGGATATGAAGGTGCACGTGAATGGCCATGCCATGGTAATTGATGCTATCAAGGATCACCAGGCGGAGGGGAACAGACATTGCCCAATGAAGAACTAGAAGATGGCATTTTTTAAAGAGCATCTACATACAGACAGAGCACTCTGAAAATAGAGCAGAATGCCTGCTCAGCAACCTGAGGAAGAAGGTTGCGGCGGCAGAGCTCGGGAGAGGAGCATGGAAGCTCAGCAGAAACAGTGGGCAGATATAGCGTGGTGAAAAGCAGCGTCCATCAGAAAAGAAACCGACATGGTGGCTGCGCACACTCGTGGTGTGCAGAAGAACACAGAGGAGAGAGAATCAACCAGATCGATCTTAAAGGAGCCAAGTGAAACGAAAAAATTGAACCTTGGAAGCCAGCTCTTCATACCATGATATGAATAATGACTAAATCTATTCCATGGACTCTAGGTCTAATACATACATGTACATGAGAGGAGATAAAGTAGGAATTCTAGGACAAAAGGAATATAAAGAGTACTACAACAATACAATTCTCTCAAACAGTTCCCACCCACCAGGGTTCAACCTCTAGGGTCGACATGGTGTGCCATATATTTAATCAAAGTAAATACATATGTGTGTTCAGTGCAAAAGTGTGCACTCGTGTAACATGAGGCTCCTATACCTCTACAATAGTTGTAGGGCTTGTAGTGGATGCCCACACGCGAGTACTGTGGCGGATCAAAGAAGATTCATCTGAGACACAGAACACAGCATCATACCGCCGTCAAGCCATGGGTTGAAGGACTGTAAAACCGTCCGCGCATGTGTGTATGCAACGCAAATGAAAAAAATGGTGGACTAGAAGAAAATTATGCGCTCAAATCTATGTGCAGGTTAGATCAAATATGAAACACACGTGAGCCTAACAAGAATAAGAGATGAACATGACAAGCTTGACAAGAGAAACTATGCCTGCGAACTATTCCATGGGATACTTGAATATACAATTTGCAATTTTTATCATAGCAAGGCACATGCAGTCATTCAGTAACAAAAAATGATAAGTAACCAGCAATAATGATGGGTTGCCTTATGCGCATATGTGTTGCAACATTCGGTGGTGAATAACAAATCAGACATAGCCTGCACGAAGTGGTACATGATTGTATTACTCATCTTCACTGACATGGTAAATATTTACTGTATAAAGCAAACAAACCCAGATCTATTCCTTGTTGAAATGAAAGGATAAGTTTCAAAGAGGTTCACTTGCCATGCATGTTAGGTGCACATCAGCAAACCAGGATTGAGAAAAACAAACCTCTGAGAAGTGCAGATGATAATCATTCAATTTCTTGTCCACCCATTTCTGAACTGGAGACAGGAAAGACTGGAAAAACGTAAAGTCCTGGCAGCTATCATCGGCATCAACAGAACTACGTAGACTTTTCAAGTGTAAGCGTTCTTGTGGACCACGCTGTTCCTTCAAGGGTATCTTCCTCAAATGCTCAATCACAACTTTCAGGAGTCCTTGCTCGCCTGTAAAAACAAACTGTGTTGCAGAACACATTAATTATCATACTATGGTGATGGTGACTTGGTTCATGAGCTAATAAATTAGTAGCATGCTACTGAACAGGACTACATATTTAGTCCAGTATGGTTTATGCAAGAGCATCTTTTGATCTCAAGAAAAACTAATGACCCAGTGGTTACTGGTTTTAGATATGATTCACCACTTTAACAATAGTCCTACATTATGACAGGCTTAACTTGAACTGCATTATTATGATTTATGAAAAGGCATCATTTCCACAAATGGTACAGGCAAAAGGGGAGTTTGCACTAAGTTTTTTTCAGATAACTGTCTCTTAAGGAAAAGGCATCATTTCCATAAAATGGTGAAGACAAAAGTGGAGTTTGCACTAAGGTTTTTTTTTTCAAATAACTTTCTCTGACACTGACATTATGAAGAGAAAAGGCTAGAAGTGCTGTCACTAAAAACTGGATAAGGATAAGAAGATCCTCCCTTGCTTTTGGCTCACTCAGAATTCTTAAAAAAACAAGATGCCAGAATCCAGAAACACATCTGATTGCTGCCGTAGAGATATCTAAGGCTAGCCACAGCATAAGCACGAAATACTCCAAGAAGGATACATGTCAAAAAAATAGCCTCTTCTCGGTTAGTGCTTTACCTGTCGGAATAATACCCATGCATAGCACGTATCATGAATTGTCTCTGTGATTCCTAGTATACGCCAAGTGGACTTTAGGAGCTCAAGGATTTCTTCCACCTCCTGGTTGATAAAAGTAAAAGTATGAGACAAATATTGAAACCAATGGGGTGGACAGCGGAAAATGGCAAACAGGGATTTGAAGTACTGGCCTCTGTGAGTTTTCCCTCATCTAAGGTGTCAAAAACACTGCCAAGCATTTTTTCATACAAGGCGGCATTCAGATGGTAACCATCAGCCCAATGACAAACCTCACCGGTAAGATCGCCACGAGCAGGCCTTTCAGAGAAAGATGTAGCAACTTCTCTCAGTGAACGTAGGCATTCTGTACGTTGAACCTCCGCAGCAGATGGGGATAGGGACTAGCAAACAATACGACATCGTAACCTCCATTTATTTTATAGTTCATATAGTGCTTATTTGAATAAATAAATCAACCATAAGAACTAACTGGGGTAAGCATAAAACCTCAGATTCTTCAATCTTTCTGAAAAGATTTCTTAGCTCATTGACTTTTCGACCTAACTCTCCAAATCCAACAACAGGATAGTTTATTAGGCCCTCCTCCAGCATGTTCAGCTAAGCAAAGACACAAACAGACCTTATATTGTTAAGTCATGCAGGTATGGTTCAAAATCCTTAAAGCACAAATGGATGGCTAACCTGTCTTTTCTGCCAACGAAGATATGCCTTCATGTCAGAAAATTCAGCTCTAGATATAGAGCACAGTAGTTCCAGTGGTATCAAGAGATTGTCCATCCGTTTTCCGACTTTACCCACCATAGCATTAAGTAGTCCCTGTCTAGTCCTAATATCCATGGACTCCGTTATCTATTCAAAAGCAGAGGGGTGAAGGAGGTAAGCAGATGTAAGATTAGCATTCTGAGTATCTTTATTAAATTTGGTTGTTCACAAAAAAATAAAAAAGGAACAATAACCTTAAACTCAACGAGTTGTACTATATGCAGTTTCAAACAGCACAAGAGATTTGCAAGCTACTAATGTTGAAATGTACAAATATAATTTGGTTGTTCACAAAAATATTAGATTTGGTCGTTCACAAAAATATAAAAAAGGAACAGTAACCTTAAACTCAACGAGTTGTACTATATGCAGTTTCAAACAGCACAAGAGATTTGCAAGCTGCTAATGTTGAAATGTACAAATACAATTTCAAGTGAGGGAAATAAATATATAGTACAGAACAACAGAAAACACAAAGGCGCAATTTTTGTCTTTCAATTTATTAACCAGAAACAGAGGTAAGACAAGTCACCTCAAGTTGGGCTCTCAAGATTTCAAGCAGGCCAACTAAACCTGGTTGCCGGTGAGTTTGCGATTCAGCACTTTCACTCTTACTATGGCCAAGTTTCCTCATTAATCTGTGTCTCTTCTCTTTCTTCTTTTCTTTCTTTGGGACTATAAGCCCCCTATAAGCAGTAGAAATAGGTTAAGTACTATGATAATCTTGGAAACTGGTATCTTCTAATTAAAACACTATGCTCGACACAGTGAACTGCACAGGCCTACCCTGAAGCACCAGCAGCAGCAACAAGGATTTCATATGCTGTTTCACGAAGATCATCATCTGTGATACCTGGAAGAGTAAGACAGATGTTGTTTTTCAATAACTTTCTTTAGCCGATAGTTCAGAATTCAGAGTCAAACAAAGAGATCAACGATGGCCTAGTTATATCACTAACTAAAGCAAACGCCTTAACTTTTTCTATCCAAATAGTTTGAAGTAACTGAGGCAAATAATGACAACCCAGTTATTGTTCCAATAAAGAAAGTGAATGCCTTCACGTGATTCAATAAACTAGAGAAAGCAATAGTGCATCACTGGCAAGTTATGAGGAGACAACCAACAAAATGCATGTAAAGGCAAAAGGGACAGATAGAAGATCATCAAAATTGCCTGTAGTAGCAATAGCATGATAATTATTGTATCAGAACATAAGGCATGGCTAGTCTAGTTTAATCTATTATGAGGCATGCAATACTTATAGTCGACAATTAATAACTATTACCTGTTTCAAATAATGGTAAGCGCAAGGATATATCATTGGCATCAGTTTGATGCCTCCTAGAAGCCCTTCGACTATCGAATTCACCTTCATCATCCTCAAAGTCTTCAATGTCATCTATGGTTAATTCCTTCTCGGTGGGAGAGTCCAATGATAATGATTTTGGTAAGTTTGCAACTGATGATGGAACAGCAATTTGTGGTTGTTCAACAACTGGTGGTGGTACCACAACTGGTGGTGGTACCACAACTGGTAATGGTGCAGCGCCAGGGACAGGGGGTGGTTCTCTTGTTGGTGCTGATCCAGAATATTCAGGTCTTGTAAGTAAATAGAACCCTTCAACATCTCCTGTGTTATCCTGAAAAAACAAAGTTCAGGCATATGAAAACTCAATAGGCAATGAATTTTAATGACTCTGATCATGGTCTGCAAAACAAATGAACTAAGCATGTAGCCCAATGTGAAAATTTCAACACTGAAATTGGGAAGATTATATAATGCACATATGAGGAGCCGTTTGGTATCCATGGGCATTCAGCAGAATGAGTAGTAAAGTAAGACAGGCGGCAGTATCATGAATGTTTGAAACTCCTAAATCATATCGTTTCTCCTTTGTCAAATGGTAATTTTTAGAAGAAAAAAAATACAATACATAAAGAAACCTTAAGCATAAACTCACGACATATGGGTAATCAAGGCTGTCATGATAAAGCCGGATGGCATCTCCAAGGTCAAGTGGATCCCCTACAACATCAAAGGATCATCAGTACAAATATAAGGAGACAAAGTGAGATACTTGAATGAGGCTACAACTACTTCACCTTTCTTAGCACAATTGAGGACATAATCAACACTGACTTGATCAATATCCACGTCATCTAGAGAGATAGCACCAGGCGGCATTACAACTTTCTTGATCAAGTTACCAGAAAGGATGTAATTGAGCAACACATGGCGATCACGGCGATAACGTTGTAACAGCTCAACAGGATTTTCTCTGGTCAAGTTGAAACATGGTGAACTTAGTTTACAGCACAAGCTTAACATCGCCTATGAATGGAAGGATGCATGTTCTGAAGCGATCATTACTCGTCCATATTGCGTGCAAGGGAGACAAAAATCTGAGGATGGACTATCAACTGCTTGCCACTGGCGCAATGAACCTGCAAACAAAACAAAACAAAAATCCATTGTCAATTACATGATGTAGGAAGCAGGGGCGGAGCCAGGATTTGACCATAGGGGGGCGAAGAAGACAATGAACACATAAAAGTTTTTTTTTCTAACAATGACCGCCCATAAAGGAACACAAGATAATATGTATTTTGCAATTAGAAAATTGTATTTTTGTTCGTTAGTTTGAATGTGGCTCTTACACCTAAAACACATAGAATAAGTTGATAATCTTAAATGGCGATTCTAGCTTGTTGTCTAAATTTTACTCGTGCTAGAATATTTGATTGGTAGTTTGTGTATCAGCTAATTTGATATTGAAGCCATCATGCATACAAACTGGTAGACTTATAATGGTCCCAAAAATACAAACAAGCATCTACTCCCTCCGTCCGAAAATACTTGTCGGAGGAATGCATGTATCTAGACGCAATTTAGTTTTAGATACACCCATTTTCATCCATTTCTCCGACAAGTATTTCCGGACGGAGGGAGTAACAGTTTGTGCATATCTAATAATAATAGTAACTTGTGATAGCCTAGACATGAGCCGGTGATATACCTTAGATCTAACGTCAGTCGTGCTATGTTGTCCTAAGGGTGAAATTTAAAAATCAGATGATGAAATCAATGCATGCCTAATTTACAGTACCTACTTTTGAGAATAAAACAAGAAATTGCTACACCTAATTAATTCCATCTAAAGCAAAAAGTTTCTAGTCTTCTGGAGCCAGATGCAGATCACTTCATCATCAGTATTCCGCAATGTAAATCAACAAAGGAATCAAGGAGACTCATCGTAGGATTATTCTGCCATCAGCGCCGGTGTTGATCCGTTGTACAGATGCCATCATTGAACTTCCTAGGCGTCTACGCGAAGCTAGCGCGTGTGCTTGCTGTGTCGGCGCCGAAACAAACCATAGATGCCCTCGATCGTGGGTTCGTGGCCTCGTCAGGTTCCTTCCAGAACTACCCTGGCCGATTGTTTCCCTACCGTGGGCTGACCAAGAAATACATACGGGCTTCAACTAGGAAAGCTCATGGGCCTTGAGAGCCCTGTTAGTGCGGGAGGAGGGGGCAATTAGTCCTAATTATGTTTGACGTAGCGTAATCTACTTGGCGTAGAATAGCGTACTTTGTGTACGACGCGGACGTTGGGGGGGCCTGGCCCCCGCTCATCCCCCCTTGGCAGGAAGCGGATGGAAAATGTTAGCTTAGAGTGTTTTAAGATGAAAACAATGAGTGCACTGCAAATCGTGTCCTACAGTTGGCACATTGTGTGTGTCCAAAGCAAGCATGAACCAAAGCTAGCTGTCGGCTTGCTCTAGATTTTGATAGTTGAACCAACGGGCAAATATGAAAGAGAAGAGGCGCGTACTGAGTACTGACCGAGAGGCTTCGTGGTGTGAAGGGAGGACCTCACCGGTGGTGGAGATCCAGGCGAAGAGAGGGGTTGCCGCAATGGCGAGAGTGGGGATGTGAACGAGGGTCAGGCAAGGAGTGGTGGTGGCTGCAGAGATCCAGAGGCAGGTGGGATGCGGCAGCAGAGATCCGAAGGGGATGTGGCTGGGGTTATCGGGAAAAGGCAGCAGTGGAGTTCATAGTTCAGGCCATCAGACTTGAGAGAGGAGGAAGAGACAGCCGGGCAACAATGCATTTAGGATATGTTTGGTTTGAGGGCTATCCCTCACAACGTACATGAATTACATTGGCATAAGTGAAATTTCACCTAGCAAATGCCCTCATGATTAGACGTACCTAGGAGGATAGCCATCAAACCAAACACATCCTAAACGTATTAGCGAGTGGAGTAAAGAACTTGCAGCCTGACTGCCCGGGAACAAAAGGAATTTCAAGTTTGCCATGGGGGTAGGAACGTCTTTGCATTGCTGCCCGTCTGGCTCTTCCTCCTTTCTCAAGTCTGATGGCCTGAACTCTGAACTCCACTGCTGCCTTTTCCCGATAAGCGCAGCCACATCCCCTCCGGATCCCTGCCGCCACATCCCACCCGCCTCTGGATCTCTGCCGCCACATCCCACCCGCCTCCGGATCTCTGCCGCCGCCGCCACTCCTCGCCTTACCCTCCTTCACATCCCCACCTCTGGCCATCGCGGCAACCCCTCTCTTCGCCTGGATCTCCATCGCCGGTGAGGTCCTCCCCTCACACCATGAAGCCTCTCGGTCAGTACTCAATATGCGCCTCTTCTCCTTCATCTTTGCCCGTTGGTTCAACTATCAAAATCTAAAGCGAGCTGTCGGCTAGCTTTGGTTCATGCTTGCTTTGGACACACAATGTGCCAACTGTAGGACACGATTTGCAGTGCACTCACTGTTTTCATCTTAAACACTCTGAACTAACATTTTCCATCCGCTTCCCGCATCATGTAATTGACAATGGGTTTTTGTTTTGTTTTGTTTGCAGGTTCATTGCGCCAGTGGCAAGCAGTTGGTAGTCCATCCTGAGATTTTTGTCTCCCTTGCACGCAATATGGACGAGTACTAATCGCTTCGGAACAGGCATCCTTCCATTCATAGGCGGCGTTAAGCTTGTGTTGTAAACTAAGGATGTGTTTGATTTGAGAGACATGCTAGGGTGGTTGTGCGTATCCCCAACTAGGTGGCTAGGGATATCCCTTTTTTTGTTTGGTCGGAAGGGTATCCCATGTTTTGTTTGGTTTAAAGGATGAAACGTGGCTGAGGATAGCCATTGAAGTGTTTGGTTCGAGGGACGAATGAAGGATAAGGGCTGTGGTAACCTTTTTTATTTGAGGTGGTGAGATTACCCTCATAATTTGCACTTTTTCAAAGGAAATATGGAAAATACAGTATGTGCAGTCATAATTTCGAAAATCTTAACTTTTTCACAGCAAACCAAAACAAAACAATAGTAGAATTTTCGAACTTCATCACATATAATAATTCAACATTCCATCCATAGTCAAGTGCATAGAACTCATAGTTCAACATTCTATAGAGCACTACTAGAACTTAATAGTTATACAACCCGTAGTTATTGTCTTGGTTGTCAAAAGAGCTAATCCATACAACCCATAGTTACTGTTTTGGTTGCATATCCGGTGTAACGGAGGCTCGCACATGTTTACCATCAATAGCTCCAATACAATCCTATTTGGTGAAAAACAAACCCAAAAATTAGGATCTAAACAAATTCATGCCTACAATGACAAAATGTAGTTGTCACTTGGTCTCATACCTTAAATATGGATCCCACCGGCAGTTCCCTTCTATTTTGGTTTGGGTCTCCAATGAAGGCTTCCTAATAAGGTCATCTCTAAGCTCGCCAATGGCATGGAGTACCCTTTGGAAGTAACGACTCACAACTTCACCGGATCTACCAAAATTGGCACTAATCACTGATTACGAGTCGAACGACTAGTCTTGACTAGTCGAGGGACTAGTCTATAAGTCACAATGTGAATGTCGACTAGGATTCTCGTGTAGACTACCAAGCCGAGTTGAGCTCTCGAGAGACTAGTCGTAGACTAGTCTGGACTAGTCGTGCTCTATGAGTCGCTCGACTCAAATCTGGGAGGGGGTAAGTGAGCAGCTCGCAACTGTGGGAGGTTAAAATTGGAGAGCTAGGTATTCAGGCTCGCTCTAGAACGAGCCGCACCTGGGACGAGGCTTCTCCCAGCACCCACTGACCCGCCGCCGCCGGCAGCGGTGGCAAGGAGCATTGCTCTGCTCTCCCAGGTTCTGTTCCTTCCCTTGTCGGATCTACTCTGCCGTTGAAGGAGGGATGCTGCGACGAGGGAGAATCAGAGAAGGCTAGGGTCATGATGAGCAGGAGTTTTAGGGTTGTGTGCTGTTACGAGGAAAGAGAGCAAAAGGTGTGTGGCGGCTGTGGTGAGGGAGAAGGGAGTGAGGAACTGAGGATAGTGGAATTAGGTCATGGGGGGGAGTATAGCTAGTAGATGGGCTTTTGGGCCACAAGGAAGTGCATAGGTAGTAGCCCAATCTCTCAGTCTTTCTTATTTTTCATTGCAATATATTGTACATGCTAAACTGCTTGACTGCTCTGTTCCTTCTATGTCTGCCTCAAGGATAAGGCGGGGTTAGGCCTTAAAAACAATGACTATTACTAGGTATTAGTAGTTGAGTACTACAGTACCACGTCGACTAGTCCAGCACTAGTCTAGACTAGTCACGATTAGTCTATGAGTCTCACCCCAGAAATGACTCGTCGACTCATCGACTCGTAAACCATGGCGCCAATTACCCTATTTCTAATGTTATGCCCAACGGTGTGCAAGAACATTGCTACTTGTTGCTCAATAGTCAAATGTATCGTGTCCTTTATCAAGTTGCGATCCCTAAAGAGTTGACAAAACCTAAAGAAAAGTACTCTCCGAAGCCTAAGCATGTTCACACAAGTTGTGTCATTCTTCCATATTTTGTTGTCAAAATACTCTCTTCTCATCCTATCTCTCTCATCAATTGGGCATACGTAATTGCTTCTCTCCTTTTTCTTTTTCTGGATTGAACAACCAATGTTATCATGTTGATAAACCATTGTGCCGCAGCCGCATAAATTAACATCTTTGTCTTTCTGTCCATCTACAGTGCAGTATAGGATTCAGCTATAATATGCAGTACAGGGTTTAGAGCTAAAATATGCAGTATAGGATTTACAGCTAAAATATGTTATCTTTTGTCTCGCTGTCCATCTACGTGTGAACAAGAATTCAATAGCACGCCGTATGTGTACAAATGGCCAACTACTTAGAACCAAAACCAACATTCTTTTTCCACTGCCAAACATTTTATTAAAGAACAGAATAGGATTTAGGGGAGAAATAACCTCAGATTGTAGTTGTGCTGCTGCTGCTAGATGTACTGACGGTGGCCTTCAACTTTCCTGTGCCAGAAAATTAAATCAATCAGCGAACTACACATGAGCAGA